CCCTTATCAGTCAATCACTCTCAGCAGGAAGACGTTATCATCCAGTTTTCTCCTTCTGAATTCTTAGTAAACCAAGACACAGACAGGAGGCAGGGCTGGAAATATAACACTGAGCAGGACTCACTGCAGGGTGCTGACATCATCACATTTTATTCCTCTAGCCAGCCTAGAAAGGAAGAGGTGACAACTGGACTTCTACAGAAGATACAACGAAGGCAGAATGACAGCAAATTCAAGAGAACATGCTCCAGAGTTGGATGTATTTGGACACAAGTTCTTGTTTGCCTCTAAGAGTCATTAGCCCCTTGGAGAGTTCTCTCACTCCACTCTCATGGGGATGGCACTGCTGACTCACATGTTACTACATTATGATTTACTAGTGTCTTTATGTGTTTCAGCATTTTGCATAAATATATATAGGCCTATATACATACATACATACATACATACATACATACATACATACATACATACAGCACATGCTTTCTTGTCCCTGGAGAGGTTAGAAGAGGACACCAGATTCTCTAGAACTGGAGACATGGATGGTTGTGAACTGCCATGTTAGGTGTCAGGAACCAAACTGGGTGTTCTGAAAGAGCAGGAAATCCACTTCTGCTCATAACCACCCTCCAGGCCCCCTTGTTGATGACTCTTCATTAGCACCAGAGTGGATACGTAACTGTTGCAAGGCATTTTCTGTCTTTTCAGCCAGCTCCCTAATCATGGCATGAACACATTATTAATTATGAAAGCTTGGCCAGTAACTTAGGTTGCTTCTAACTGGCTCTGATAACTTAACCAGTATCTTTTAATCTGTGTGCTAGCACATTGCTCCTCTCTGTTACCTCTCCTCTTACATGTCTTGCTTGTTCTCTGTTTCTCAATATCTCTGCCCTTCTTCTTCCCAGCATCCTCTCTGCTCCCAAAAATCTGTCTAGTTCTTAGCCATTCAGCTTTTAATTAAACTAATTTGAATGACACATCTTCATAGTGTACAAAAAGACTATTCCACAACAGATAACTTGCTCAGATATTACACAGCAGAGAACGAAGGACTTCGATTGCCCCAAGGTAGTTGAGGAAGGAAGAGGACTGTGACTCTAATGTGCTCTCATTGAGTGTCAGGGCTCAGGGTTTGGGCAGTCAAAGAGGAGTCAGAATGAGAACTTAAACCGTTGACCTGTCTATCAGGTAATCCTGTCGCACCTCCTCCTCTTGATCTGCTGTTATTCCCCAATAAGTCTAGAAAAGGGAGCAGTTCACCACTTCTCCTTCTGTGAGTTGTCTTTGCTGCTCTGGCCCCCAAGGATTTCTCTGTAGTTCTCTTGATGACAGTATTCAGGAATCATCTTAGCATCCCTAGTGGGAACAGAAATGGTCCTTCCCTAGCTCCTCTGGGGAGGTTCAGAGAGGAAGCAGTGTCATAAAACCTCAGCATCTGGTCCCACTGGGAAGAGCTGAAGATGTCTGACCTTGCCTTTGTTAATCAGGATTTTATAGTCACCATCTTCAGGCATCAGGGCTGGTCTACTTGCATAAGAAGCAAGAGATTCCTTCCCTCAAACAGCACCTTGGAGTTTCTCTGGAGATTGAGCTACCTACAATCCCAGTTCTCTGGACTCAGCTGCTTTATGGGGCTTCCTCATAGGAGTAAGAAACACCCAGTAACACAGTCAATGGATTTAGAAGTGGTGAGAAGGTGACTGGTGTTTGGCCTGTGGATAGAGTTCAGGCAAGTAGGTCTAGAGATGATAATTTGTCCAGCCCTCCATCTTCAGGTCCCTGCCCATACATATCTAACTGCCCTGACGTCTTCCCTCATTTCCTGCTCTTCTTTACTCTCTTCTCAACCTTTTATCTTTGCTTCTCTTTTTTCTTTCTTCATTTATTAGTGTAATAAATATTTATAGTCAGTTTTCTGTTTATAATCGTGTTGACACACAAAGAATATGGAATCCTAGATCAAAGATCCCAAGTGAAGCAGAAAGTCATGTCCCTGAGAGAGCAGTGGTGGTCAATGTCTTTGAAGGAGTCTTCCCACTCACAGGGTCAGAGCTCGATGCACTTTGTGGGCAGAGCAATCATGATTTTGTTTTGTTTTTTTTGGGGGGGAGGGGGGGCATGAGTTTGCTCTAGCCTCATTTGGCCTCAAACTCACTATCTAGTTGAGTATTTCCTTGGATTCCTCATCCTCAACCTCCCAGATGCTGGCTTCCTAGGTTGGGGCTTACATGTGTATCTTTTTCTTGCTTTGAACTCAATCCTTATGTCCTTGTTTGTGATACTGGGCTCACAGCCTTTGGTCAGCAGGCCTGGTGGGACCCTGTAAGCAAAGACAGAGATCGCTGGGCTGGGAAACCATAACAGGCTGTGGATCACAAAACAGTGTCCCCATGACATAGAAATTGCACCTAAAATACTCTTTCCTTGGATCCTGCTACATTCATTATATCCCAGGGCCTCCCGCATTCAGACAGGAGGGGAAATTGCCTCAGGAGAGCAGGTCTGTCGCTAGACATCCAGCTCTGGCCTGTGCTGAGTCTCAAAAAATTCAACAAGATGAGATGGACAATGTGAAGACTTTGCCTTCCCCCTCTTCCACTTCAGAGCCTGTGTGCTAGAAGCAGAGAAGGTAACTGGGAGCCAGGCTGTAACAACAAACCGTCTAAAGACGCACTGTCCTCACGCCTTGTCATCTGGAACAAGCTGCCCTCTCCAGGCTGTAGGTGTTCACCTACAGCACACAGGTAAAAATATTGCCTTCAGTGAATTGTGAGGTTGAGCTAAATTTAGGGAAGCAATGGCTGAAATATACAAACTATTGAATAATTGTTTGTTGTTTTAGTTATTACAAACATTAGGAAATCATACATACAGCCATACTCTTAACAGAGATAATTCTTCCTTAGTTGTATGGGAACTCAGTTAACAGAAGAAGCAAGTTTTTTCCATGTTGGTTGGCATCAAAATTGGTATCAGATCTCTCTAGGATTCCATAGTTTGTAATCGCCAATGAACAAGAATGCAGAATGTATTCAGTCTGGGTTAGGGACAGGAGATGGTAGCATAAGAGGAAATGCTTGCCTTGAAGACATTTTACCTTTGTTTATTTTAAGAGGATAAATAGATTTATGAGGCTTGATGCTGAAAATTTGGTTGCAGTACTCTGCTGCTGGTCTCTGCCTCTGATTCCATCAGCTGATGGATGAAAGTTCTATGGTGGCATTTTAGAAATCCATCAATCTCACCACAGGGCAAGGCCAGTTCGATCACCCTCTCTTCTATTGCTTAGGGTCTTAGCTGGGGTTATCTTTGTGAATATCTGGGAATTTCTCTAGAGACAGGTTTCTTGCTAGCCCCACTGGGCTGAGCTCCCAAAGTCCAGTTGAAGTGTGAGAAGAGTGAGAATATGAGCAAAGAGGTTAAGACCATAATGGAGATACCTACTGAAACAGTTTACCTGAGCTAATGGGAGCTCACCAACTCCAGCTGGGCAAAGAAGGAATCAGCATAGGTCCAAACTAGGCCCTCTAAATGTGGGTAATATTTGTATGGCTGGGGCAGACTGTGGGACCACTGGCACTGGCACCAGATTTATCCCTACTGCTTGTACTGGATTTTTGAAATCTACTCCCTTTGGATGAATACCTTGTTCAGTATAGACAAAGCAGGGAGGACCCTGGACCTTTTCCAAAGCAATGTTCCTTTCCTTCTCTGAGAAATGGATTTGGGAGTGCGGGGCAGGTAGGTGGAGGGAATAAAAGAAGTGGGGGGGATGGGAACTGGGATTGGTATGTAAAATGAAAAAGAAGATAGTTTATTTTTATTTTAAGAAAAGAAATTACCAAAAAAGAGGGGGAGAAAAATATTGGTTGCAGCCAGAGGGTGTTGCTGCACACTTGTATTCCCAGAACTCAGGAAGAAGAGGCAGGAGGATATCTTGAGTTTGAGGCCAGTTTGGTCTACAAAATGAGTTCTAGTACAGCCAGAGATGTAACACAGAGAAACCCTGTCTCAAAAAACAAAAGTAAAAAAACAAATTTGGTTGCTACAGATTTACCACTCAAACCCACAGCACACTTGGAATGGATTGTTTATATGCAGAGGGAGGTAAGAGTAAAAAAGGAAGAAATAACCTATCTCCTCACAGATGCACATGATCCATCAGCATTCCCTTGGGAGACGACAGTATCTCTAATGCATTACACAAGTGACCTGTCATTACTCATAGGACTACATGTGTGAGTGTCTGTATCTGACTGATGCTTTCTCTGTCATCTTCATCTATTCCTTTACTCCTTTTTTGCATGTATCTGTGGTATGTGTGTGAGAGTGTGTGAGTGTGTATGTCTGTGTGTCTGTGTGTGTGGTAGGAGATTGACCTGGGGTTATTCCTCAATTGCTCTCACCTTGTTCAGTGGGGCAGAGTCTCTCAGTCGAACCCAGTGCCCTTCATTTCATCTAGTGTAGCTAGCCTTCTTACTGTGGGGATCCTATGTCTCTGCATTTCTAGAGCTGGAATGAGAGTGTGAGACTGCATATGGCATGGCATGTGTTACATGGCATTTCCAGGAGTTAAATGAGGATATTTAGATATACATCATAATCCAGAGGCAAAAGAGTCATGGGCCTCATTTGGCTGAGGAAGATATTAATGCATTGGGAGGTTCAGTAACTTGAGAAGAGTGCACAGAAACTGAACAGTGCTCAGAACCCACAACCTGGCCTCTCTTTTTTAAATTAAAAGCTATTGTTTTTTATTTTATGTGTGTGGTTACTGGTGTACACACATGTTTGTGTACCACGTGCATGTCTTGCCTGTGAAGGCCAGAGGATGGAATCAGATCCCTTAGAACTAAAGTCACACAACTCTGAGATGTCTGGTCCCCTTCAACAGCAGTCAGTGCTCTTAACCGCTGAGCCATGTTTCCAGCATATATCTCCTCTGGCAGCCTGTGTAGCTGGCATGTGACAGGTGACACATAGATGAATGTGATTCTCTTACAGGCTCCATCATGTGGATTATTCCAGAGCAGAACCAAAGCTGGGTTTCAGAGTTTATCTTACTTGGCTTCTCCAGTGATCCCACAACTAACAGCATCCTCTTCACTGTGTTCCTTCTCATCTACCTGAGCTCATTCATGGGCAATGGACTCATAATCCTGCTGATCTGTCTAGACACACATCTGCACACTCCCATGTACTTCTTCCTCTGTTTACTTGCCATGTTGGATATGGGCTATGTCAGCACCACGATGCCCCAGATGTTGGTGAATCTTCTTGATCACTCTCAGACCATCTCCTTTGCTGGCTGCTGGATGCAGATGTATGTGTTTGGTGCCCTTGGTATAACTGAGAGTTCCTTGTTTGTTGTCATGGCTTATGACAGATATGTGGCCATTTGCTACCCACTGCATTATACTGTCATCCTCAGATGGGGACTGTGCATACGGCTGGCAGCTGGGTCTTTGGTTTGTGGTTTCCTCTCTTCTTTGTTACATACTTTCGTCACCATGCGTCTGCCATATTGTGGACCCAACAAGGTCAACCACTATTTCTGTGAAGGTCCTTCAGTGCGTAGCCTGGCATGCATGGATACCCATCTCATTGAGATGGTGGATCTAATCTTGAGTGTTTTTGTGATTGTTACACCAATTTCCCTCATAGTGGCCTCCTATATTTATATTGCCATGGCGATTATGAAGATCAAGTCCGGCCAAGCTCGTTTCAAGGCCTTCTCTACCTGTGCCTCACACCTGACTGTGGTCACACTCTTCTATGGTCCAGCTTCTTATATCTACATGAGACCCAATTCCAACTACTCCCCTGAACAAGACAAGCAGATTTCACTCTTTTATAATACCTTCACTGCCTTACTTAACCCCGTGGTCTACAGTCTGAGAAACAAAGACATCAAGAGGGCATTTCTCAAGGTGATGGCGAATGGTAGGATGGACTTGTGAGCCAGGATCTAGGAGAAGCTGGAGGTAGAGAATTCAATATTTAAGAATGGGACAGTGTTTTTATTTATGTAACTGGCCTTGCATTTGAACCATCACAGTACTTAGTATGTACATAAACCAACTTGAAACCAAGGTGTCTGTATTGGTTAACAGGCTACACTAAGGTACAGTACCAAAAATCTCAGTTATCTCTGTGGATTATAGTTGTGGAATATTCCATTACATTATGTGAATATATGTCACTGTTATTGATTTAATAGTGAAACTGACGGGCCAATAGCTAGGCATGAAGAAACTGGCTACTTGAGCCAGACTAGAAAAATGCTTGGGGGAGGAAGAGTGGAGTCTGGAGTCACTAGAAGAGACAGACAGAAGCAGATGGGCATGCCATATTGAGAAAAGTTACCAAGCCATGTGGCAGAGCATATATAAGAAATATGTGTTAACTTAAAATATAAGTTAATAACTAGCCTGTGCTATGGACTGAGCATTTATAATTACTATTAAGCCTCTATGTGGTTACTTATGAGTGGCTTGTGAGACAGAAACTTTTCCCTACATATTATAACTGCAAAGTTTTGTTACTCGTGTTGTTTTTTAACTGTACGTTGGGAGTGACTATCTGTTCTCTAGCATCTACCCTGAAGCATTAGCTGTTATGAGGACGACACTTTCCTATAACAGAAGTAGGGAGCATGCACAAAACTCATGATGACTCACCACCTCTCAAAAGTGACATATTGTTTACATCCATCCTTTTGATTACCACAAGTTGTGTGGTCAACCCTAGTGGCAAATCGCTCAGTGATATTTTCTTCCTACTTAGAAGCAACACAGACAGTAAGGAACAGAGATAATGTAAACTATCATTGTAGCACAGAAACAGTATCACACATGAAAGCAATGAGGAACATTGACCATGTTTCATGTTAGTGACATGGTAATGGAAACTGTCGAGTGTCAAGCAATATTAACAAGGTAGTATATATATAACAGTATGTGATATCAACACAAAATAAGCCAATAGTATGTATAACCTGTGAAACTTAGATATGTGACTTTGTGCATGAAATCAATGTGGTTTATGAGCAAATATGGTGAACTGCATATTGTATTCTCAAAGACACAAAACTTGACGTTAATGATCCTGGGTTTTCATCTCAACTGTGCTGTCATGGTTAGTATATGAATGACTTTGGCCAAAGTCATTTACTTTACTTCGCATGGAATTCATTTTCTTAAGCAATAAAATTAATACCCTGACTCCAAAGCCTGCTTGGACTCTGGTGTTCTCCTTTCTCTGTCTCTCTGTTCTCTCCCATGTGGGGACATGGTAAGAAGGCAGCTGTCAGTGAGTTAGGAAGAGGAAGAGATGCTCAGTAGATGCTGCTCATGCTGTCAGCTGACCTCAGAGGTGATGACTAATCTTGCCTGTCAGTGTCACTGTCTTGAGAGACACCTAGAAAATTTGTAAGCATATTTCTCAGTGTGCCTTAGGGTGTTTCTACAGATGTTGGACATGTGGGTCAATCAACCAAAAGGCAAGATCTTCCCTGCATATAGGTGGCACTCTCTAATGGCTGGGAGCCCAGATGGAAAAAAAATCAACAGACCAGCAGCAGGAAAGGTTGATTTTTTTTCTTCGGTGGGTGTGACCTATGCTTTTGTCATTCTCTGCAGGCACCAGACTTCAACTGTTTTAGTTTCACAGTGGATTCACACAGGCACTTCTCCTTAACCAATGTCACTGTAGACCTCTGAGCTGACAGATTCATAAAGCAAACCCAAGGCTAATGTTGTTTCTGCCAGCAACAAGGTATGAACTGGAAACAAACATCGAGGCAATTGTGTATAAATGAAGATGCAATCTTTAATGAGGTTCTGTTTAGATAAAAATGGAGGACAGAAATATGATTACAATGAGTGAACAAGTAAGGTTTTGAAGTTTAATTGATACTTGTGATTAAGAAAGAGCTGGCTATGGAAAGAGAAGGAGATGCATGGATAAACCTCAATTTAGGAAATGACTTCCCTTTGTTCAAAAAAAGCTGAGGGCTGCTGGGAGTGGTAATGCACATCCCAGCACTGTGGAGGCAGAGACAGGCTGATCTCTAAGACTTTGAGGCCAGCCTAGTCTGCATACAGAGTTCCAGACCAGCCAGGGTTACACACTGAACTCTCCCCTCTCACACATACACTCACACACACACATATACGTACATACACACATACAAACATTCATACATACATACGTATACATACATACACATACACAAACATGCACACACACACAAACTGGAGAAGGTCCATGTAGGCATGTAGAGTGCACAGGAGAAGCAGACATAAATCACAGGGCAGGGCAGAGGCCAGGTCCATGAGGAGACTGGGATGCTGACTGGAGGAGGGCTGTACTCTGAGGTATGATAACTTCCATTATATGGGTGACCTTAAGAGTGGGTGACTAGGAAGAGAGGATCGAATGCTGGGACTCCCAGGGGGCCCAGAATGTGAGTGTGAATGGAGGAACTCCCCCTTAGAGAGCTGTCGTGCATGAGGAGCACCTAAGAAGAACTCTGCGTAGGATCCCTGGGAGGGGTGACCTATATTGATTTTGCTGCTGGAGAGAGAACTGGGGAAGAGTGGAGTGGGGAGTCGAGCAGAGAAGAGCAGGTGACTGGTGAGAGACCGTGGTTTTGGGAAATGCCTGGGTGGAGAGTTTCTGACTAGACTGCTTAGGGTGCACTTCAATTTGCAGCCTTGGATGTTGTCATGGAAACGTGCACTCTGCACATTCAGCCACCTGCTTGATGCCCTCAAATCCTCTAAATCAGCTAGCTGCTGGGTAGACCCATTCACAAGGGTCCCTGCATGGGTCCTGAGGTCTGCAAGGTCACACATAAAAGTTGTTCTTTCTGCAAACTCCACTGACTGTGAAGGCCTCTGCTCTGGTGGCAGTAAGCTTCACGTCATCGCTGGCCATCTACTCCCTTACCTACACTTTGGGAATGGTTTAACTTTGCCTAACAAATCCATAGTGATATGGCCTGACTAATTACCAACTCCTGTTAGCCAGAGCCTGAGCCACACGCCTATGAGGGATTTTTAATTAATTGGAGCCTGTGAAACTTGGATATGTGACTTTGTGCATGAAGACCTACTTTAAATCTGGGCATACCTTCTCTTGGCAGCCTGTATAAAGGACAAGGAAGAAAGAATGCATTGCCTTTTGTCTGCTCACCCTCGCTCTTGCTTCACTGATGTTACAGCCTACTTCTTCAGGATGCTGATACGTACTGAGGATCTGCTGAGCCATCCATACTTGTGAATGAAACAGCTACTGGATTTTTGCACTTTCCATTGGAAGACAGCCATTGATGGACTTTCTGGACCACAGCATATACTGCCTGCTGGAGAAACCTGCCCCAGCCCTCCAGGCTACTGCCATCCTGTTGGCATTGGAACTGTGTCTGCAAGAGGCCATTCCAACATTCTATCGGACCAGCTGCTTCAGGGTGGTAGGGAACATGGTAAGACTTGTGAATTCCTTGAGTATGGGCTCACTATTGCACTTCTCTGGCTGTTAAAGTGAGTGTGGAATACCATAATGGTGGACAAGGCATTCTATAAGTCTAAAGATGGTGGTTTTGGCAGAAGCATTATGTGTTGGAAAGGCAAATTCATAACCAGAATAAGTATTTCAGTAAGGACAAAGTGTTTTCCTTTGCATTAAAGAAGTGTTCCAGTGTAGTCAACCTGCCACCAGAAAACTGGATGGTCATCCTGGGGAATGTAACATATTGTAACAGGCTCCCAGACCTTAACACAACTGACTCCGTGATGGTAGTACTATTCAGTTTGTAAAACTCAGCACTTAGCTCCATCAACCAAAAATGCAAACAAAGACCTACTTCGTCAAATTTCATACTTTTGGGGAAATCTCTATATGAAATAACCTTGATTTTTTTTGCTTCTCTAGTTCCATTTCTGAATAAACTGTTCTTGTTGACTGAAGTATATCAAAATATGGTTTTTGTACTTAAAATCTCTGTTTGGTATGTAAAATAAATGAAAAAATAATTAAAAATCATAATGAAAAGAAGCTCACCCTGAGAAAGGCTTGATGCTACACTGGGATTCTGGCTAATAAAGACTTTCTATTGGCATAAACCCATTTCTGTGGTATTTTCTGGTGGATACCCCACAACAACATCTAGGGCTCAGTGTTGATCTCTGTTGTTGGCATTCAACAGCAGCTGTAGCCAGGTCAGCTTTGGTGATTGGAAGTCCATGTTGTTGTTCTCCTTATGTCTTTAAGCTTCTACTTCCAGGTCCTCAGGTATCATTTATATAGTCAATCAGGTTGGCCTTGAATGCTTGAGTCTTCCTGCCTTTATCTCCCAAATTTACTTCCTCTCTCTCTCTCTCTCTCTTTCTCTCTCTCTCTCTCTCTCTCTCTCTCTCTCTCTCTTTCTCTCTCTCTCTCTCTCTCTCCAGACTGGGTAGTCTGTTCATTGTAATAAGCACAGAGAAAGATAAAGTTTCTCTAACGTTTAAAAACATCTTCTTTTCACTGAAGTGAAACATGAAGCTTTTTAAACAAGTTCTCAGAGAGACTAGGGGCCTCCAGCCAAAGCTCCACTGTTAGTAAACAAAGGAGATGGGATTTGAACTCTGTTACGTGCACACCATCCCTTACCATTCCCACCCAAAATGGTCACCACCAGGGCATCCATCACCCCATGTATTCACTCTCAGGCTGACCTTAGTCTTGGTTTAAACTCTTCTTTTTGAAGTTTCTATTTGAAATTCCTTTCCCTAAAATTAAAGTCAATTATGAATGTCTTCACTTCACTTTGATGAAGGAAAAAACCTAAACAAACCATAACCTCCTCAGCTAAACCAAATAAAAATGATTAATTTTGGAGACCGCACAGCTGAACCTTACCTTGTTACCTAATTATCCCACTAATTTTGCAGTAGGTGACATCTCTGTTGTGTGT